ATGAAGCAAACGAAGGCGGAATATCTATCTATCTATCTATCTATCTATCTATCTATCTATCTATCTATCTATCTATCTATCTATCTATGCCTATTCATATGTATGTATGTATGTATGTATGTATCTATCTATCTATCTATCTATGCCTATTCATATGTATGTATGTATGTATCTATCTTTCTGTCTATCTATGTTTATTCATATTATCAATGTTTCCATCTATATATCTGTGTCTACTCACAATATCTATCTATCTATCTATCTATCTATCTATCTATCTATCTATCTATCTATCTATGCTTATTCATATCTATCTATCTATCTATCTATCTATCTATCTATCTATCTATCTATCTATCTATCTATGCCTATTCATATTCATGTATGTATGTATGTATGTATGTATCTATCTATCTATCTATGCCTATTCATATGTATGTATGTATGTATGTATGTATGTATCTATCTATCTATCTATGCCTATTCATATGTATGTATCTATCTATCTATCTATCTATCTATCTATCTATCTATCTATCTATCTATCTATCTATGTCTATTCATATTATCAATGTTTCCATCTATATATCTGTATCTACTCACATTATCTATCTATAATTTGAATGTTCTCGAAGGAGATAAAATATAGAACTTCGTTTTTTTAATCCATGTAAACATTCTTTTTTCTGCTGAAATCACCTCTATGATGATAATCTCCTTGCTAACATTCATCTAACTGGGAATTCACTATTGTACACAATTAATACATGTTTTAGATCAATAAATACTAATTTTGCTCTATAAATTGACAGAAAGTTAGCAATCACATCAGAATATAAATCTGTCAACGCGTACGCTTGTTTCTTCCTATAGAGATAGAAAGATATTTACATACATATCTACGTTTCTTGATCAGCGATAATATATAATGAATAGAGTAGAGAAATTAACATAAATATTTATGATGTGAAATTATTGCATATTTCAACAGTGAACAATGTCGCCGATTCTTAAGATGATTAAAAAAAGTCTTAGGGTTTTTTAAATCATTTCAACCCAAGCAATACAGTAATGCTAGTAATCTCCAAAGTGTACACGAGAGTGAAAGAATATGAGAAAAATAAAACATTATTAAGGAGAGGGAAGAATAAAAGAACAGAAATTAGGAAGGCAGAAGATAACATGATTTAAGCTTTTGAATATCAAAATTGACTGGAAAGCAAGAAGCCCCCCCCAAAAAAAAAAGAGTTCCACAAGTGAGAAGTGCGAGAGAGAAGAAACTGCTAGTATAGAACTTACGGTTACATCTAACCAATTCAACTATAAAATCATGAAACCTAGCCAACAATCTAGTAGTACTCCAGTGGAACGAAAGTCGAAAGCTTATCAGAAAAAATAGCATGAAAATATTTATAGAAAAGACACAGGAAAGCTATGTTACTTTATCTAGATTCAATTTCTGACTGCACGAGCGGAAGTTAAATCATCAATGCTGCTTCGACTAGAAGTTACCCTGTAAATCAGTGTGATCTTTTTTCAATCTTCAACACGGTTGCTTATTTCCACGCATGTCGCTCTGATCAGGTTCATTTGTCTTACGTCAACACCCACAGAGCCAAACTCTGGTTTATAAGAAAACTGTGGTGAACAGTCTTTACTTATAGTTCAATTATATAACCAACCAGATTCTCATACAGCCTTAAATTCAAAGTTCTTCTCCTACACTGGTAGCCAGCGTTAGCTAAGGCAATCCAGTCTACTATGGTATTTAACCTATAGCTGTTCGACTTCAAGTTAAGCTTCTCGGGATTTGTCGCTTTTTTTTTTCGTCGGGGCGGGGGAGATGGATTCATACCTTTCCGAAGAGTATTTACGAATGTAATCATCTCGACCTAAATTCCATCTCAGCTCGCCGATTTATCGGTCAGAACCGCTAACTCCACTGGAACATCCTGATGTTAAATACGCAGCTTTTTTCACACGTAATACATGAAAGAGATACGTAATAACTAGCTAGTTATGTAAATAAACAGAGAAAAAAAAATAAAATAATAATAATAATAATAATAATAATAATAATAATAATAGGAAGAAATATTTTATCAATTTTTATTGGATTTTCCTTTATATGATTTTACATTTTTCTTCGTTTTTCGTCTGTTTATTTTTCTTCTTCTTTTTTTTTTTGCCTTTTGAGAACACCTTACCTTTTTTGTTCCCGTTGTGTTTGAGCAGGACGTTTATCATTTCTGTTTAATTAAGTCTAGCATCAAAGAGTTGAAGGTATCTTTGTATAGCAGCTTGTAAAAGGTGAGCTAATCTTTATCTTATTTAGTATATGGGCATTTAAAGACTCGATTAATTGTCGACTCTCATAAAGCAGTTTATATTCAGTGAAGGAAATAAGACCATTAAATGGTAAATTGCACAACAAGGCTCATTACCGCGGGCATTATACATATTTTTCAATCTGCTATTTTTGAGTTGTCAACTTCCGGCTGACAATGAAAGAAATGCGAGATTTGACAGACCGGATGTGACATAGTCAGTCTGTCAAAGTTAAAAATTTTTAAGGAAAAAATTCCCTTTTTATTCATTTAAGTAACTGATTATTATTTCAGTTTTTTTTTCTTTTGTAATGAGAAGATTTTTTTGAACTTTTAATTAAAAAAAAAAAAAATTCATATTATCATTTCATTGTCAAGAAACAAATAATTAGGAATTATACACAATTTATGATTTTTCTTTTAAGAATTTATTATTAGAATCATTTATCTACTTTTACGTGACGTGACACTTTTTAGGTGTAGGTGATCATGGCTCTCCACAATTTCCTATACATTGTAGCTCTTACCAATCTTTGTTTATCTACTATCCTTACCGCTCCGCATTTTCGTTAAATAGGTTATTTAAAGTTTCCCTCTCACAATTTTGGCTCCTATAAATCATGTGAGTTTCAAATTTTCCGAGCCCTCTTTCCTTACTTTGTCTCCAAAAAGTTCAACCGACTCTTTCTTATTCCAAGTATAAGCGTACTTTTTGTTTTAATTTTCTTTACAACTTCTTTGTTACGTACATATTCCATCCATGTTATTCTTAGCATTCTTCTGTAGAAGAATTTTTCTATTGCCGCAAGTTTCCTCTTCATCTTTGGGAAAACTGTCCAGTATTCATTGCCATACAGAATGATTGATATTACATAAGAGCTCAGCACGTTTTTCTTTGTAACTAAATATTTCTGTTTCTTAATACTTTGTTTAGCAATTTGAAGTTATCTTTCGCTATACCTGCCGATTAGAACTTGCTTTTAATTTTCTGCTTAATATCAGGTCATCCCATAAGTTCTGTCCGAATTTTGAATAAAGAAAACAAGTGAACAAATCTTATATTTAGTTACAGATTCAATCAACAATGTATTTTCCCTGATTATCTATGACTTCCTTCCATCTATTAACAAGCTTACTAATTCCATTACTGTAAAATTCTTTTGGCTTTGATTCGAAGAACTCACAAATGTCAGTTTTAACATATTCCTGTGTTACAAAAGCTGTTTCTTCCAAATGATTCTGTAAGCTACGAAACAAGCATTAGTCTGAAAGAGCAAGATCGGGAGAATAAGGTGCATGAGGAATTTTCTCCCAACCATGTTCTTCGATCTTTTGTGACGTGATTCTTGCTGTGTGGGGTCGCGCATTGTCCTGATGAAACATCACCTCTTTTCGATTCACTAGAGCAGGTCTTTTTTTCCCTCAAAGCTTGGTTCAAACGCTCTAATTGCTGACATTATATTTGAGCATTAATTGTTGCATTACGTGGTAAGAATTCAAAGTGGATTATTCATTGGCGATCCTACCAGATTGAAAGAAGAAACCTTTGCCCATGAAGTTCCCTTCTCAGCTGTGGCTTGGGTCCTTTCCTTTTACCAAGCCACTGTCTTCGACGCTTAACATTTTGATAAAAGATTCATTTTTCGTCGCCAGTCACAAGTCTATCCAAAAAATTGAAACAAATTGGCAAGAATGGAGAGAAGAGCAGATGTCAACTCGGGATTTGAGGTTGTTTTCAGACAATTCATGAGGCACCCATTTTCCAAGTTTAAGAACTTTTCCAAATTGTTGGAGATGATGATGAACAGTTGTATGGTTTGAACTGAGAACCACTGCCAATTCCTCAACTGATAAAGCAGGATTTTCTTCAAGGGCTGTTTCAAGAAGCTTTTCATCAAACTCAACTGGACGTCCGGTTCGATCTTCATCTTCAAGGGTGAAATCTCCACCTCGGAATTTTGCAAACCATCTTCTGCAAGTTCTTTCATTCACACATTCCTCTCCATAAACTGAGTGAATGTTTCTAGCCGCTTCGGCTGCTGAATTTCCTTTCTTTAACTTATAAAGCATTATGTGCCTCAAATGATTCTTAGGTACTTCCATGTTAGCAGGGTTTTAATCAAACAAAATTCAATTTTATTGTTCTCTGAAATAAAATTTGATCGGTTTAAATGCATCTAAACATAAAAAAATAATGTTCAGCTCCATTAGACATTATAAAATACTCTTTAAATTTTGTTCATTTTAACAAAAAGTTAAAATTCGGACAGAAATTATGGGATGACCTGATAGTTGCATAATATTTACAGTAATGTCGGTATAATTGAAAATGCATACGGGAAAACTGGAGTCTCTAATAAGTATGATAAACACTACACAAAGAGAACTTTAGCGAAATGTATGTTCCTAAGACAAAGGCTTGCAAACAATTCACGTTCAAACCTCGGTTCTTATACGATCATCGAAGTTAAAAAAAACAAAAAAACTAAAAACGCCGAGCCTGGTCAGTAACTAGATGGGTGACCACTTGGGAATAGCAGGTACTGTAAGCTTGGATGTATGGTTGGTGTAATGGATAACAGCTTGTAGTTGGAAATCGCAGAGCCGAGTTCGAATTCCAGTCGAGTTCTTTATATTCACTTCCGCGTAAATACCCTTCGGGAATGTGTGAATCGCCCTCTTTTGTCTCAGCTGTGGGTTAATTAGTAGGATATGTAAATGGTTATCTCCGAAATAAAAAAAAAAAAAATTCTGGATTTAAATAACCTACAAAATGGTGATAAACCGTACCCCCCGCAAAAAAAAAAAATAATAAAGCAGAAGATGGAACAGAATTGACAATTGAAACAAAATAACAATGAGAAAAAGACATAAACCCCAAACAAATTTTTCATAAAGAACAAAAATGTTTTACCTACACAGTCAACATATTTCCCATATATTAATGAGGTTCTATTCATATATCCCCGCAAAACTACTTTATTTAACACCCCCCACACACTTATATATATATATATATATATATATATATATATATATATAAATTTTGTAAATTATGTGCAAAGGAGAAATTAGCCATAGCTTTATATGATCAACCTAACCAGCTATTAAACTCTAAAACTGAAATTCTTAACGTATGTAGACATAAAAAATCTTGGCTACTAAATTAGACGTTTTCCCATTTATTGTCATTCCACCTTGATGTTCGTGTTTTTTTTTTTTTTTTTTTTTTGTTTTTTCCCCCTCCCCATTTTTGTTGAATAAATATTTAACTTAGGTTTGTGTTTGTGC